TCACAGCCAAGTATCTCTGCTTCTGCCTTGCAACTATTTGTACTTCATAGTGTTCTTCCCATTATGCCTTCTAGATTGCTGGTTCAATCTCATTCGGATGCATTCAGGCATATTCTATTATGAAATTCAACAAAAAAAATATCTGTATGGTGAAAGACTGTGATCCAGATCTGGTTGTACTAACATACATGAAAACATTTCCATTGAAGCAGGTTTAGGCTTGTCCAAAGGCAGGGTTCAACTCTGCAAACTTCAGATTTTTTTTAACTGAAATTGTGATTTCAGTTTTATTCTAAATGAAAGGGTGAACAGTGTGCTTATAATGAATGAATATACTTTTGTATATGCAAATAGCTAAAGATAATGCAAGAAATGCTTAACAGAGACTAGTAAAAAGCTCAGGTTGACTCATCTTTGCACATAACAGAATAATACTTCCATAAAATTTGATATCATAGTTTCTTGGTGCCTGAGATCGTTACTATAATTCATATAAACAGTTATCTTTCACTACTGTCTTATAGGGAAATAATTTAAATACTCAAAATACTTTAATTTAGAGTCAGAGCAATGCACAGGCACAGAAAATAATAGTTGAGAAGAGTTTCTATGTAGTCTTGAGACCATAAATGGAGTAAGTCGCAACATTTAATTTTATGCCAGCTAAGTGTGCTGGCTGGAGATGACTTTCATTACTTTCTGATTTAGCTATTTTTATCATTTTCACATACTCAGAAGTAAGCAGGTGTTTGTATTTTGGTGTTTGTATTGCTGCTAGTATGTTCTTCCTCTTTGGGTCAATAAAGAAAATAATTCTACTTGCTTTGTGAAACACTCGCCTACTGTGACAGCCTTGGCAGCTACAACAGCTAACTGCTCCTGCAGAAAGGGAGAAGTGTCCTTTTCTATGTATCTTAGCCAGAATATTGAAGACTCAGATTCAGTCTTCAGATTGAGGTAATTCGTACTCATGTCTGAATCAGCTAAGGAAAAAAAAAAATTCTAATCACAACAGTATTGTGATCAAAAGGAATCAGATGGCTGAGGAGCACATAACTGCTGATGACAGCCACAAGACAGTTCCTGCTTTAACCATTTTATATAAATTAAAACAAAATAAAATGGAATAATAAGAAACAACAAAAATATCAGACACACTAAACCAAAACCCAAACAAAAAAAAAAAAACCTCATCATGTGTGCATCTCTATAGCAAGGAAACTTCCCCTACAGTCTTAAATAAAATAATGTTCATTACACAGAATGGAAATAATTGCACTTGACCAAGAGTTCATCTGCTTCTGTAGAGTTCATCCAGTCTGTGTAACACGGTGTAGGCAGCAGTGATGTTCTTAAATTGCAGCTTTCCTTTACTGCCCATACTGCCAGGGGAAAAAAAACAAAAAAGAAAGTTAAAATGAAATTACAGAATAAATATTACAGGATTTTGCCTTTTACATTTTCAAACGTAAATGGATTACTTATTTTCAGTATGCTTTACTCATATTGAGCGAAACTGTAGGAGTTCCACCACCAAGGTAAGTATCTTTGTTCAGTCATTCGTAAGATAATGATTCATTTTGCTTCCTTTTACCAGAAAAGCACAATGTTCCTTCTAAAGTATTTAATAAATATATTGGATGTGTGAATTGCTGAAAATAGCAATTTGAATCTACGAGCTGTTCTTGCCATGTACTTAGAAACTTCGTTATCATTGTCAGACACCAGACTCACAGTGATGGAATTAAACTTGTCTGAATTCTTAGAACTCTCCAACCGCTAGGATGAGTCAGGGTACAACCTTCAGTTTCTTAGAAATAAGCCTCTCTTTAATGAGTGGCGTAACTGCTTAAAAGGAAGCAGCAGTTTATTTGTTTTGTGGAACAGTTGTACAAACAGCAGCCTGTCACGAAAGGCAGAATAGCTTTCCTGTCATCCTGCTGTTCCTCTCGTGATAAAGCAGAAAAACAGTGATTGGAGTGATTGGGTAATTGGGCCATTCGCTTACAACCCAGACTGAGCAGAAATATGACTGCATGGTGATTAAAAGAAAAAACAAGTCAGAAGCAAAAAGAGAGAAATTAAAACAACAAAAACCCACAGCCAAAGCCCATAGTTTTCACCAAGAATTCCTTATACAGTAAAGGAGACTACCGTGTGTGATTTCCTTCTCAGTTATGTTTGGATTGTTTCTTGTACAGTGTTGTTTTCTGTTATTGTTGTCCATTGAGATCACACATGTACCACTAATGGAATGGTTTCTATATAAAGATCTACAGAAGGCAGAAACCCTGTTGGGAAGAACTTAGCTGACACTTGAGTGTCTTTAACTGTAGAGCACTGCAATCAGTTGTAGAGCACCAACATCAATTGTGCTCTGCACCAGCTGAAGCTTTACAGTTTGCCAGAGGGCAAATAAACTGTCCTGGTGCTAATGTGTTTCTGTTAGGAGCTGGGAGAGCAGTAGTGACCATGAAGCCCGTGTGGCTGAAACACAAAATGATGATTGTTCCTGTAATGTGTTCTGTGAGTCTTTGGAAGCTGTCAGAGAAACATGACTGATGCAGTGTATTAATCTCCTTAGCAATAGGAAAAGACAACAACCAATTGATTGTTATGAAGCTTCCTCTTTGTTGTGTGCAAACTTCTGTGACAGTGGAGGAAAGATTAGTAGGAAATTGAGGGCTCTCTTCCCTTTTAAACATTCACGCATAGGAAGAGGTTAGGAAGAATGGAAGGAGACAGCTGTCAGCGTGCAAGGGCAGGAAAGAGAATGAACAGACAACAGACCAAAACTAATCCAAGAAGCAAAGATGTATGATCAGGGAAGAAACTAGGTATTAATTCACTAAAGGACATTTTTACTCTTTTAAATCTCAATGCATAAACAAGGCAGTCCCATCATCAACCTAAATGTTACTTTTAATATGCCCACTAAATGTGGAATCTCATGCACAAGCTTGTGCCAATAATTTTTGCATCTCCGTTTAGGTAATTTTGATCATATATTAGGAGATCCTTATAGTTTTGCCTGTCTTATTCTATCATACAAAAGACAGAGCTGGATCAGGAATTTTCACATACACAAGGTGCTGGTGCTTTTCTACAGGAATGTACTGAAGTTAACAGAAAACAGTTAAAAAGGTGTAGATATCTTTGTAATATTTCTGTGGGGATTTCATAGGTGTGCTCTAGGCACCAAAAAGGAGAAAAAAATTTTGTCAGGAGCCTTTCTAGCACAAGATGCCCCAGAAAAGAGGCACTGTGTTTTGATTTTTACATTTTAGCCTGCTTCTGTGTAAACTGTCACTTCCATTGTCAAAACAGAAACTTTTTTTTCTGTTCAAGTCATAGAAGTAACACATACACATGCTCTTGATGAGATTACTGAAATGTTTTATGGAGCAGAGAACCTCCAGGATTACAAGAAGGAATTATTGAGGAACTTTTATGATCTATTCTTTGTTTTTTTTTTGTTGTTGTTGTTGTTGTTTTTCTTATTTGTTTGCTGGAAGTGCATTTCTGTGGGTGATCAGGGATGTATGATTGAGAAAGTATTTAACTGCTGCTATAAAATACACCATGTTTACACTGAATATTGTGGTTCTAGAGAAAGTTAGGTTTTGTTTGGTTCATTCTTTTTATCACATTGAAGCTTTCATGTGCCCAAGTGTAGAATACTTGATGTCTGAGCAGCCATAGGGTACTGAGTTCATCCAGATCAATCCTTGATGCTTTTCAGTGTGTTAATCCAGGAAAGTTGCTGGGTTCACTGTAAATGTTACAGAGCAGAAATAGATTTTTCTTTCACTACATGTGAGGTTAGGTAACAGTTGTTTTTTTATTTGACACAGCTTCCCAGCTGGGGAAGGTTCCATGTATATTCTAACTTTACTGTACTTTGCTGTAGTTAAAACAATTCAGATTATCAAGATTGTATCTGTATTGAAACTGTCTTCAGATTTTTGGATATGCCAGATTTAGAATAATTGCATATCCAACTAAAATGAGTTCAAGATGAACAGGCAGCACAGAGAAGTGTAGATTACTTTAAAAGCTTCTAGATATTCAAAGTTATTTTATACTTCTGATGTTTGGCCACTATGAACTTTGCAGTGGTGGCTTAAAGATTTTTAAGGATCCTTTTTGGCTTTGAATCTGAAGAAGTGACAGCTTTGTTAAGAAAAAGGGAGGACACCTGTCTTAAAGGCTCTGAAGGTGCAGTAGCTTGCTCTTACATACTGCTGACTTGACTGCTCGCTCTGCTGGCTTCTCCTCTGCTTCTTGAATTCCTCTTCCCTGCTGAGTTGCATAATGAATGTTCTCTGAACTCCCTCAATTTCAACATACCTTCCCACACAGCCTCTTTCTTTTGCTAAAAATGGATGGAAGAATTCTGACTGACTTGTTGAAAAGATCTGCATAGTGTGCTGCTGAATCACATCTCAAAATAAGAACAAAAGTTTCAACTTCTCTTTAAAAAACAAACCAACAGACAAAAACAAACAAACAAAACCCAACCAAGTAACCCAAACAAAAAAGAAAAGCACAACAAAGCATGCAACAAACCACACCCTTAACCCTGTCAAAATTGAAGCAACACTGTAGATGGGTGACACAACTATAAATCAACTCAAATTTTTGCAACATCAGTGTAAAAAGCTGGTGTGCTAGCTGCCATTTTAAGAACACAAATCTGTAGGATGCGGTTTACAACTGCCAGGTGGCAGCAGCTAACAGTAACAGCTATTTGCAAGTCAACCTGGTTCTTGCAGGTGCTAGCAGTCTTATCTTCTAGTCTTGTTATTTAGCCCAGGACCTACTGGTGGATTCCTGTGATGAAATAAACTGTATATTCTTTTTACTTCAGTTCCTTACTTTGATGAGTTTCTGATTTTTATTTGTGTCTTCCACATCCCTGTCCATAGTTCAAACACTGCATTCATACCACAATTTTTATGCTTAACAGACCTTTTACCTACACAAATTTTGCTTTCCAGGAAGTTTCCTTGGTGCTAGTGTGGAATTCTTCACTAAAGAGACAAAATCTGCCATGTTCTTCTCATGAACACAGCAACTGCACAAGGTAAATTGCATTCATAGCTCTTCACTTTTCAGAACAATTAAGATAAACAGAGGAAACTGAAGCAAAATGTAATCCAGTGCTGAAAATGTCTTTCCTCGATAAACTGTTTTCAGATGATATTCATCGAGCTAATTCAGTCCCTCAGAATCAGTCCAGAGTTACTGTTCCTGTGGTTTTGGTTTCTAGGTAGACTTGCAGGGTAAGCCTCTTTGTTGCCTCTTGAGAGCTCACAGTATGATTGCAGAGTTCCTACATCAGTACAAAGTCTTTTAATATTTTTTTTTCCTAAAGTGTTCTTTAATATTTTTTTCTTCCTATGCTATATCCAAAGAGGGAGCCTGGTTTCCTTCTTTTGTGAGCATGTTAGACCAACAGACACACATGGATTTCTGCATTCCTCTCATTTTTCTTCAGGCTAGAAGTACATACTATAGATAAGCAAACAAAAACTGTAGATGGGCTCCCCACTGTAATTTTCTCAAGGCATTTTAGGAATTCAGATCAGTCTTTAACAAACATAATTACATTGTTTTTCCCTTCTTAGGTAGGAAATTCTTATTCTCGGTTTCTTTTTTATTTTTGCCTTGTTTTTAATGGCACTTTGGAAGACTTTAGGTAAATCTGCTCTATAGCTTTTAAGTTTCCAAATAACTCCACCCTGCAAAAGATATATATTTTTTTTAGTTAAAGTTTTCATGAAGCCTCTATCACGTTTTGTCAAATGGGCTGGTTGGGGCAGGTTGAGAATGAGACTTGTAAATCACCAAGGACTTTGATTTTCTTGTTGTATCATGTGATTTGACTGTTTCGGTAGCTGCAATGTCTTAACCTCTTCTCGTGGAGCAAGCAAGCAATTAATTCTACTCTTACATTGCTACTACTAGAGGTAAAGGTACAGTATAGAAGGATTCTTTCTTCATGACTGTTAGATTGTTTTCTTGGTCATCCTTAAATTCTAGTTTGTTACAAGCATTTCTTTTAAGCACGTTAAGAGTTTTGTTTATATTCCCCTCTTATTGACCTGTTTTTCTCATCGAATAGAAGGTAGAATGTTCAGAACATTACAAAGAATTAAAAGCATTGTGACTTACTCACCCATTGGCTATATCTTAACGAGTTTGCATGAAATCAGAGTCCAATTATACACTGTTTGTTATCAACTAGAAGGAAAAGATGATAAGCAAAGAATGGCCCAGAGGGTAGGAACTGCATATGCTATCATGGTTGGTGGTAAAAACTTTGATGACAATTGAATGTTGTTTTCAGGTTTAAAGGGAAACTCATAGGTTTTTTTTTTTTAAGTATTCAAATAAAATTCCGACTGTTGTCTATGAAGTGTTGATCAGACACTTCTACTGATTAACTGCAGTAATGCCTATGTTCAGGCTACCCAGTGTGCCATTCATCAGCTGTGCTAGCTGCTGGATCATTCTTTAGGGCAGAATGAAGCACCAAGTTGTATATTCCAAATTTCTGGGCAGTGCGTGTGTTGCTCTTCTATAGTGCTTTATGCATGCACTGTTCTTACAAAGATTGTGGTTCTATCAGTAGGAAATCTAGCCCAGAGTATTTATGTTTGTAACAACTCTGCTGTTTGCTTTGAAACTCAGCCATGTGTTTTGTACCGTTTGACAGTGTTTGATAATTCCTTCCAGGGATAGGGAAAAGATTCAAGATTACGTTCTTCTTTCTGACTAACAGTTAGCTATGTAACGTGATATTCAGAGAAAGATCTCCAATATAAGCATGCGTCTAGGAGGCAAGTAACAAAAGAAATACAATCTGTTTCCTTTCATCTCTAATGCTGAGTAAGAAGTCTTGAGAGTCCATAGAAGTAGCAGTTGACTACCAGCTTGAAGGGATCAGAGCAGTAAGGTGGCCATTAACAGGATGATTAAGAGCCTTTCATGGTGTTTGCCAAATGCAGGTGTCAGTTAATTTACATTGCCAAAAGAAGGAAAACAGTATTGCTGTTACAATTTCGTATGCAATGAGAAGCATTCTCTTCATTAGAGAGAAATAAAATTTGTTAAGAGACTTGAGTAATAGAAAAGCAGAAAGGAGAACAGTGGGAGACAGCCAGTAACCCTTATCAGCCATATGAATTGCTGCCTTGGCGATACTTTGAGCATCCTTGCCGTCTACTTATCTATGTATAAGGGATCCCAGAAGTGGATTTGTACATCAACCAGGATCAACCAGCATTCTCTGACAAAAGGTGTCCTGCAGAAATTACTGTCATGTTAAAGTAATGATTTTTTTTTCTATTTTAATCTGAGTGTTTTTAGACAAACAACTAAGCTACACTTTGTAGAATTTAATGTCCTGTCTTTAGTATTGTCCTCTCAAGGTATTGATGAAAGGCTTTACCTCGTAGAAATGTTTTAGTCTTCCCTTTCCCTTCCCTTCCCTTCTCCAGTTTTTCTTCCATGTTCTGAATTCCCCTGTGGTTATGCTGGTTTTTCTGGGTGGGAGCTCTGCTCAGCAGAAGCACCATCAGTGGTTCTGGGCAGCCCCATTCAGATGCAGTGTAGCCTGTTAGGGGCTTCCGCTTCCCTCATGCCCCACTGCCATGCAGACTTCTGCAGTATGCGCAGAGATGGAGGAATCACAGAATCAGAGGGGTCTGAAAGGCTGAAAGGAACCACAAGAGGTCACTGGGTCCAGCTCCTCTACTAAAGCAGGTTTCCTACAGTAGTTCACACAGGTAGGTGTCCAGATAGGTTTTGAATAACTCTATAGAAGGAGACTCCACATCCTCTCTGGGCAACCTGTTTCAGTGCTCTGTCTCCCTTACAGTAAAGAAGCTCTGCATTTTTTAAAGTAACTTCCTACATTCAAATTTTAGGCCATTGCTCCTTGTCCTATCCCTGCACACCACCAAGAAGTGCCTGGCTTCATCAATTTGCTTCCTACTTCCCTTTAGGTATTTATAAACAATAATCTTATCAACCCTTCTCGGTTTCTTTTCCCTAGACTGAACAAGCTCAGGTTACTCAGCCTTTCCACATATGGGAGATGCTCCAGGCTCTTATAATCTCTATGGCCCTCCACTGGACTTTTCTTAGGAGAAACCTGGGTGACTTGTTTGTTTGTTTGTTTGAACTGAAGAGCCCAGAACATAGTAGTTTAAATGTGGGCTCACCAGGGCCGAGTAACAGGGGAGGATCACCTCCCTTGACGTGCTGGCCATACTCTTTTTAATGCACCCCAATATACCATTGGCTTTCTTGGCTTCAGTGGCACACTTCTGGCTCATTGCCAACCTGTTGTCCACTGGAACACCCAGATCCTTCCCTGCAGAGCTCAGAAACAACTGCAAAATCACTGCCAGGCTGAACACATTAAACTCCTGGTTTTTGTTTTCATTGAAGTTAGTATTCTGATGCATATTGTATACAGTACCTGTACTAGTCCTGTCTTTCATCTCTAAAAAGCAGTCTTGCTCCTATGATATGGAGCAAGTCTTCTTTGTTTTGGAGTAAACATGCACAAAACCGTGCATGGAATGTACTTTAGGTGACCACTGAGTGCCTTACTGTGTGTGTGTTAAAGGGTAGACCACAAGTTTTCCAGCACAGCTCCATTACAAAGTTCTGGTGGCACAAGATGCTACCAGTCTTCGTGTTCAGTGATAATTGTTGTCTCATGAGACCCAGCAGGACACACAGACCATGCTGTGAATTTTCCATGTGATGAGGAAGGGAAGCAGAGCAAGACTTGTGCGGCCATGCTGCAGTGTTACCTGTGTGCAAACAAATGGTTTGTGGGTCTCATAATGAGCTGGCTTGGGTCAGAGCAGCTCTGGGAAATGAACGTGTCCTTGGAAGTCCTGAGAATTGAAACGTGCAGGAACAGCATTCTCAAATCTTAAGCAGAAGCAGAATGTAGCTGGATCCTACATGCAACTATTTAAGTGGCATTAGAAAGGAATGAGTAAATAAAAATAATAATAAAAAAAACATTAGTTTTTCATGGAGAAATTTTATGTAATTTCTACAAGCTGTGTTACGTACATTGCTATATATTATTTTGTAGTGCATGCTTAGATTTTTCTCATTTGATCTCCTGTAGATTTATCCACCTAGTAATTTGACAATTTACTGTTCAGTTGATATGCCAGTGTAATAAACTAAAAAATGACTGAAAAGCCAGCCCCACATTACAGAGAGCAGTATTTTTGTTACTGTTTTCTCATAAGAGCTTTGCAGAAGCCCTTAGTAATGGAATGAAAACAGTAAACCATTTACTGTTTTACATAAGAATATCAACACAAAATATGTTCACTCTGGGAAAAGCAAGGACAAAAAAAACAACCAAAACCATTGAAGTATGATTTTGGTTTCCTGAAGCATGATGGCTCCAGTTCTTCCAAGGTCTGATTTTTGTGCAAGGCATTACTCTGTCCAGAGGCCTCAAGCTGAGATTTGAGCCAAATAAAAATCTTTGTAATTCTTTGGGTAAATCAGTTTAGAATCAATTTTAGATTTCATTGGAAAAGAGAAATATGATTTATTTTTCAGAAGCATCTTTTATCCTTTCAAATGAATCCCAAAGAACATGAAAGTATTTTCTTTGTTATATGGAGGTTTATTCCTTTCATATACTTACTGTGGGTGGAAGAAACACCTGGTGGTTAATTCATTATTTCTAAAACAAAGAAGGTAGTTGCAGTGAGTGGGACAGTTATGACATGCAGTATCAAGTCCTGTCCCTTTATTAGAAAGTACTTTAAAGTGCTATCTATAAATATGGAAGAACTGTCCCTCCCAGCACCCCCTTTGTTGTCACTCTAAGAAAATCCCAAGGTCCAAACTAACTTGAGGCGCAAACTTTTTAATTAGAGAGACAAAGTGGTAACTGAAATGCTTAATTTAATTTAATTGCATTTATTCTTTAATTTTTACTCCTGTAAAAATATACCGAATAGGATCTATTCGCAAAATTCATTTAACTGACTTTGAAGGTGAAAGGATTAGGGCTTGCAGTTTATTTTCGGTATTCTTGGGAGGTAATTCTGTTCAGGTTTAGTTGCAGTGATGCTAACATCTGGGATTAGGTCCTCAGCTCAAATTAATGTAACATTGTTTATATCCTGCAAGGTTTTTACTTTCCTTGTTTTGAATTCTGCATAATTAAGTGTGGAGACATAATAACATAACTATTTAAGTAGAAATAAATATGTAAAGCAAAATACCCCCATAAAAACAGACTGACAATGCAAGCACAGTTACACAATTGCAATTCCAAGGCTGAAATAGAGGAATTATTTTACTGCAGGTATTGGACTGATATTTTGCTGTAGTTGCATCTGATAGCTTCTTCACTTGAATTTCCAATAGTTTACACAGCTTGAAGAGTCCAGTCTTTACCTGTAGGGTTTTTTTTTTGCTCAAAGTGAAGGTACTGTTTACACACAAATTCTGATGCTTTGTGATCTCGTCTTCCACTGCAAATATATTGATCTAATAGATACCTCAGTTACATTCATTGCAGTGCTATTAGCCTTCTGGAATATGGAAGATTTCTTCTTTATATATACATACTTTAAATGTTGGTTGTAGATAATGAGACTAAAAGTAAGCATCATCTCTGTGATTATGTCCCAAAATGAGAAATAAGTGTATTCAGGTTCTTACATCCATTCTAGTGGCTGACAAACGCTATAGCCATTGGAAAGCTGCATAGATTAGGATTTGTTAATTGCTTATGTAGAGCATCTTGATTTTTCTGGACCAAAATTGACTGTTGCTCAATCTAAAGTCATTAGTGTCTGCACCATTTGCTATTTCATATTTTTACACTTCTGAGTAATATAGGTTTAATTTTTCTTTGGCCTATCTTGTGCAGGTGCATTTTTGCCTCTGGTAGAAGCTGTCTAGGGAGAATGTTAATGTCATGTGCGCCTGCTGTAGCAATGGAAGAATAGACTGAAGTGTCTGCAAGCATGTGCAGCCAGCAGGGCTGTGTTTGCTTTTACCCTGAAACATAGTTCCTGCGTGGTAGCCACCACATGCTGGACAGCTGAGGGGTCATGGGATGCTGGCACAGTTTAAGATCTCTGTTGAGTTATTCTGTAACTGCCCCAGACAGTTCTATTGCTTGTTTTGCATCGCTAGTGAGTGACAAGACTACAGAATATGACTACTCTGTATATAAAATAGGGATTCAATCTTCTTAAAGGAGCTGAGGATTCAGATCATGTCGACTAATTCTTTCCTTATATGAGCCAAGAGTGCAGTGCAGTTCTTTGCTAGTGAGGAAAAAGTAAAGAGTAAAATTAAATATGTATTTTGAGCAGTTAATTCAAAACAGCAGGTTGTGATTTACCCTTACAGCTTCAGGATTCATATTTGAAGAATCTTTGGAAAGCAGATTTGATCTGCCTTTCTGCCTTTTTATACAGAATTTTTCCTTCTCTACTGAGCTCTGCTTAGTGCTCACTATGGAATCCAGTGTTACATTTAAAGTAGACTTTTTTTTTTTTTAAATTTCCAGTTCCTTGTCAGTTACTGTTTATCTTTGATCTGTGTCATCACAGTTGTTGCTGGAGTAGCAGATTGCGATTTCTGCCATTAACAAAGGTACTATTGTTCCAGTTGCCAGAGCAGGAGGACTTGCACTGTGCATTATCTTCAGCTTCAATGACAGGAATTCTGAAGTAATTATGTAGTCCAGCACTACAGAGATTTTCAGCTGCAGTTCAGATTGTAGCTTTAGTTCTTACCTTGATTTTTACCTACAAATGGTGCCTAAAATAAAAGATTCAGTTGCTGAAAGACTTCTGGAGAAGTTCTGTGTTCTTATATATACATAATAATTAACAATCAAACTGCCTTTTTTTCTTTTAATAGCAAGTCTCAAAACCACCTGCTATCAGACTTCTTTGTCATGTACTGAGCAGTAGATTTAAAGTTAGAGGCAGGAGGTGAGAGTTCAGAAGACAAACTAAAAAGCAAACAACAAAGAACCTCCTGTGGTGCCTCAACAGTTGTAGCTGACAGTTAGCGTTGATAAGTTGGCTTAAGGTGAGAGGTGGGGCAGAGCAGCTCTGCCTGTTTGCTTCTCAACAACCTTTTTGGTCCAGTAGATACCATTTGAATTTAATCTTGTCTTTGGGACAAGTCATAGTAACACACGCTTGAGAGTGATGCTGATATCCACGAAGCTGTTGAAGGCCTGAGGAGAAGCTGAACAATGGTAGGATTTTTTGTTACAGTGTTGTTCTTTTGAACCTGAAAGTGAGCAGGTCTGAAAATTTAATGGTGTTTGATCTTCTGCACTAAAAGAAAACATAATTCTCTTTGGCATTCTCCTATTATCATATAGCATTCTTATTAAATGGAAAGGTTGTGGCAGAACTACAAGGTTGGTGCAATTAAACTTTTAAATCTCAGGGGTTTTCACGATCAAGTGATTTTGTATCAAATATTGTTTGTTCGTCAACACAGATCATTGCTCTATATCTGCAAGCATCAGATGTGTTTGTAAGTGATGTGACTACCAGCAGCACCGGTTGAAATTTCTGAGTACCACGCTGTAAGACCAGGCGTCATGTGAGCGATAGAGCATCTGGGAACCCTGCGGACTGAGTGCCAGTGGTTTCTTTCAACCAGAGAACTGCAGTGTGCTTGCAGCACTGAGAAATTTATTCCCCTAGATCCTCATTAAGTATTACGGTAACTTCTACTTTGCCTTTTAAAACTAAAAATGGAGTGCAAATCATTCTTCTGATCACTATAGAAATAGGCAATTCCTATATTTGGATTGGCGTGAATTGAAAATCCAAGCTATTGGTCTAGCAGACTCAGAGTGAAGGACAGAAAATACAAATTAGAATTACTGTGTTTCTTTCACAGGGATTAGCCATTTGTAAGAGAAATTTCACGATCTACAGTAGATATGGAGTACAGATACAGAGTGTATCTGTTGAATTGTGGCAATGTTTAAGTGCAAACAAAATCTGTGATAGAAAAGAATAGTATACTTCCAAGTGTTCATGCTTTGCAAATGGGCTAAAACAATAAACAGAATGCTAAAGTAAGAATAATAACCCCTGAAAGCATACTGAGTTTGTAACTACCGACTGAAATGTGCTGACTGTATCTACTGGCCCAATTTTGTTCTTAATGTATTCCCTGTTGCTTTACTTGTTTTGTTCCATTGAAACATCTATGTCATGGAGAAAAGTTGAAAAATGTAATGTGAACTGTATGGTTCCAGCTGCTTGCTTATTTTCTAAAATGATTTTTTTTTTAAGTTGAAGTTGAATGCTTTTGTCTCTGCCTATCACTGGTTGATATTTTTATTCTAAGTGCAAAATAAACTCCTGTTTGTTTATTGTCATTCTAGAACCAAGTGCTCTTAATCAGATTCAGAGCTCTCTGTATGATGCAACTTTGATCTCTTCAAAGAAGTGTATTATTTGATGTGAATACGAATAGTAGAATTTCACATTTTGTCAAGTTGAACTGTTGCTGGGCTCAGGGTTATGAATCTCCTATTGATACGTGGAAGATGAAAGAAAGCCCATTTAGGGAACACGTGGCTTTGCAAACACATTAGGCTGTTAACAGTTATGAGAGGTAAATGAAGATTTGTCATCCTTTTATTTTTTTAAATCATCTTTTTATGCGGTATTCTCCTTTCTCAACTTACTAAATTTGGTGAGCCCTGTTTAGGAATAATGGTACCAGCTGCTGAAGTCCTTATGCCATGGAAATGTTTAATCATTGTATTTGTATCTTCAGCAGTCTTCCTTGAATATCAGTTACTTCTGTCAAGGCCTACAGCCCATATTGTTAACAGTTTCAAAGCATAAAGTCAAAAAATTCTGCAGAAGGACTAATAATGATCCGTAAGTGAAGTGTTATTCACTTAATGATAGTCACTCATGATTTGAATCCATGGGTGCTCTGAGAATCTGCAGACTTTGGAACTCCTTGCTGTAGGATGTTGTAGATGCTGCAGGATGTGTGGGTTCAGTGAGAGACTGGGCAGGTTAATGAAATGAGGGCAGTTAAGTGGGCCATTTCTGGCTTGGTATCTGCGAGTACAGGGGCTGAGAAGGATAAGTACTGTATTTCTTGCTTTGTCCTAAGATGTAGGCATCAAATTTTTGTTACTGTGGAAGAAAAAAGTGACTACAGCACTACAGACTACAGTGCTCAAATGAACTTGGATTTGGTGAAATAACAGAGAGCTGTGTTATTATTTTCATAGTGCCAGGCAGAAAAAAGATGTTTCCTTTACATATCATAATGATCCACTGCTAACCTATTTATATATTTATTTTTAAAACAGGAATCTTGGAATAAGTAAAACTTACTTTTTGTCTCCACCAGCTATCTCAGCAATTGCAGGAAAACATATTTTTGTAGTAATACATAAACATTACTTTAAAAACTACATTAGCTTTACAAGAGAAAATAACATTTGTAATTGTTATCTCTTACAAAGCACATGGGGAAACAGAAAATGCATCTTGCGGGATTATTTTCTTACATAATGTATAAATGTGAATTTCTTTATGATCTTTTAAACACGGAATGTTTCTGAAGTGTCAGAGGTGCTGCTTAGTGATAGCTTTTGTTGGCAAACAAATGCATTGTGATTATATTCAAGCCCAAGCAGTAACTAATAGCTTACAACATCTATGTGTACCATTACTTTTAGCTAACGATATAATGTCCAGATAAAGTGACTTCAAGAAAACTTTTAATGTCAACATCTGCTTTTCTAAATATTATGTGTTTAGTGACAGTAGCTCTGTTACTGGGTTTGCTGACAAGAAGAACAGGGCCCCATAAATAGGTTTGGTTGGATGTGGAAGAGTGGAATTTATTGGAATTCTTCCTTTTTAATTGTGATTTCTTAAAATGCTTCTATAGTGCTTTATTTAACAATAACAATATTACTTTCACTAATTTCTCCTGAAACTTTCTACATTTCAACCCTAAAGAAAATCCTGCTCTGTACACAGTTTTATATATCATGGTTTTTACATCTGCAACTTGAGACAGAGTTCTGAATATCTACTGAGACTTAAAAACAGTAACAACAAAACAAAGAAACAAGCAAAATGAACCATTTTATGTAAGTTAGGTCTTGCAATTGCTTCTCTCTCATTCTTCCAATTAAATTACTGGCCTTGCATAAAAGTATTGGTGCAACTTATTAATAAGTACTCCAAGAATGTAAGTGTATGTTCAGCAAGGAATATAAAAAAGCTTTTTTTTCATATTTTTATTGTTTAACAATATTTTTCCTTGACATAGATATTTTTTTCCATAGAAATTTATAAAAGATGAAAAGTGAAAAATGAGCAGTTCAATATAGCATGCAGGGTTTGTTACTCTGTGAATTTATGGGAGGCCTCGGTGTTTCCTGGGTATTTTATGTGTGCTTTCCCAAATTAGCTGAATCTTAAAACATGTAATGCATCCCATTTCCCAGTTTGGTGATGATTTCAATTAGTATTTCAAAATTTCTCTTCTGCTTGTTTGCTTAAAAGCACTGTATCTGTGTGCTCAAAGTGCAATGTGTTTCCATGTAGGATATTTTAGCCTGAAATTTCATTTAGCAATTAGCATTTTCTAATGTTATTTTCTAACTGCAGGAGCCAGGCAGTCAGCCTGTCTGACTTGCAGCGACAATTTTCAAGACTAATGAAGCCAATTATAATGTCAGTGTAAAACAAATTTAAAGTAAAAGTCTCTAGATCCTATATGAAAGCTAGTAAGCATTGATTACATTTTACCCTTTCTTTCTATTTTAGTTATCCATATGCATTCCTGTCTCTAAACTCCAATTTCTGTTCTGTTTTTCTGCTGCTATCCTACTGTGGAAACAGAACAAAGTTTGTTTAGGCCTTCCATTAATGAGGAGAGTCACCCCAAATGTATCTTCTGTCTAAATGAAGAGAATGTGTTGGGCTCAGAGATGTGTTGTGAAAAGGAATATTACAATTTAAAAAGAAAAAATATTAGTATGATCCAGCAGTAGGTGCAGGAACTGGCTTGCTGATCAAAATTAATCATGAGACAGAATAAGTTGGCAGATTTTGCTATGCAGTATGAAACACTGACATGTATTAAAACAGAGTGTTTCAGAATGAACAAATAACTGATTTATACCAGCTCAGTGAAAAAGGAGAACAAATCCATGGAGTACTCAAGGTGAGAGTTTTCAAGCGGGAATAGACTGTGATGTTACAAATCAGAGTGCAAATGCATATGTGTTACCATGAATGCTCCGTAAGTTTTATTCATTCACCAGGAACCTTCTGCTCTGGGATATTGAAGTGGAAGATGCAGTGGAAAATTAATGGATAGAAAAGTCAGTACATACACTCATAACAGTTCTGCTTGATTTTATTCTGTTAGGTCAGTATGGGATTTTAAGACAAAATCAATAGATTGAAGAAGCATCTGTGAAGCAAATATTTTTCAGAATCTTGTACTTTTCATTTTTTCAAAATGTTTTTTGTCATCAATTTTCATGTGCATTATCTGATACAGATTCATTTAGTCAAAATAAATATTTCAAAAAAAGCCTGTAAGGTTTTGTTGTGAGTTATCTGCAACAGGCCTCTCAGCCCCATATGGAATGAAAAGGGCAGAAGTAAGAAAACACTAGAAAAGCAGGGCTTCACTATATGTAAATGTAACTTGGGAAGACAAATGGGTGAAGTCCTAAGCTACTTTGGTCACAAATCCAAAACATGGCACCATACTGATTTCTCTAAAGAAGATTAACTTTGTCCCGTCTAAATCCAGTACAGGCTGACACTAGCTGTGCAGTGCAAGAGATTGTGTCCTGATAACTCTCAGATTTCTACAATTTGTTTCAAAGAGTTTTAGAGTTTTAAAATAATAAAGCAATGGGAGTGGGAACTGGCTTGCTTAAGAAAATGAATCATGAGGCAGAATAAGTAGTTAGATCATCGAATTTCATACTGAATAGCAAAATTTATTTCATTTTCGAAGAGGCATTGCAACAGCAAGCATTTTAGAACTAACAAATAGCTCTGATTCATACCAGTTTTGTTTAAACGAATGTGGAAAGGTTGACAGTTATCATGATGGAATCACTTGCCATGATGTATATTTGACACACTGTAATGTTCTCTGTGTATGGAAGAGGAAAAGATGAAGTGCAATAATTTTTCCCTTATAGTAACTGCATAAAGTTATGACTTGTGGTTACTGACAATATTATATGCACAGAAGTTTAATGCTCCAAATCTTCAACTTCATTGGGTTTCTGTGTTGAATGTTAATACTTTTTTGTCATAATATTCCTGCCTTCTAGAATTTCTCAGATTTTCCAAGGCTTGCTAGAAATTAATATTGATGAATTTTGAAATACTTATCTGAAGAAAATCTGGGAGTAGAATTTACTGAAACATCAGTACTATTGTGCAAAAGGCATGTGGGCTATCAATGACAGTCTTCAATTAAGTTTTATTTTTCTATTGTTAGTGACAAAAGCGGATAAGACTGTTTAAGAATTATCTCAATTCTTTGTTATGATTCTTGAAACTGAATGTCAACCTAATGGTTTGGGAAAATTCTGACTCTAAATAAAGATTTAGTAGTGGTTGTGGTGACTGAAATGTTATTATAGTGAACTATTCAAATCTTTCCTCAGGTCTCTGTGTGCTGCTGCTTTGTAGGAAAGAATGGCCAGGAGCAGTTTTAGTGGAAACTCATCTTTCCTTCTTAACCACTTGACTTTTTTTTTTTTTTTTTTTTTAATTTGATCTTCTAACATCCTGGTGTGCTGTTGCTGTATTACGTCCACATCCACACCTGTACGTAAATGGACAGGATTTAGCCTTAGGGATAGGGAGGCTTTCAATAATGCAGATTATATCTGCATGTGCTTTCTCTACTTCTTTGGAGATACATAGTTCTAGTATGGAAGATTTCAATGGCTCTAACCTGGAGAGAAGTACTTTCAAATACTGGTTCTTGATTCTTTAGCTAAAGTTGCTATCCCTTTGAGAGAAGTTGGAGCTCCAGTCTGTTTACTCACAAGCAGTTTCTTCTGTAAATAAAACCAATCTTTAGAGTTCATACTCCTGATAACAGAAAACTTGGTATTAAAAGAGAGAACACTTTTTAATGCTGAAGTGCAAATAGTGTGTAAAAGGCAGTAAAAAGGGAGCTGACAGCACTGTGCTGGGGATGCTTTAAAAAGGCAAATACTTATTTCTCAAATAACATTGAAATGACTGAAAAGAGAATGGGGCCACCTAGCAGGACAACATCTTTCCACCTGTGTCGAAAATGTAGAAGTGAAATAATCCAATTTCCAGTACTTGTTTTTGAGCTTTTTTTTTTTTTTTTTTTGTGTCTTTGCAGCCTCAGTGTATTATTAGGCTGTCATGTTTT